CGTCCAGGTAGTCTTCTACTGCCGGCGCCGTTGTGGTAGTCACAAAATGTCTCACTGTTCTCTCAAGTCTTCTGTCCGATCTTTCAAGAGAAGCCGTCTTCTTTCATCCTTTAGCCGGGTTAGTTTCTTGAAGTTTTTCTCTTTGGATTTTAATTAACTCTCTCTCGCGGCGGGTTTATGGAAGCTGGCGGGAAGCGGCTTGGCTCATTGCTTTCATTACTCGTATTTAATTTTACAGCCATTTTAGTGTTTCTTTCTGTCGGTGGCTTGTCGGTCCTGCGGTTCCTCGTTTTCCTTCCCTTCAGTCGTTTCCAGATTCCAATCGAGACACTCTATCGGCGACTTTCTCGTTAAGGGGAAGTCTCCTCAATCTTCCGGGCGTTTTCCTCCTACTCACCAAGATCCTGCCGGACACAGACTCCATCGGAAGTTATGAAGGAGCTTTCCCCTCACCAGATATCGTGTCCGACCCGGACCCGATGCAGTTTCCCGGTCGTTTCATGGTGCTTGTCGCAGAATTTCTACCGACGAAGATCAAGATTACGAGGCCGTAGTGTGAAGGCTATAGGGGAGGAAGAGAGAGAGATCGATCTGATCGAAATAGTGCATAGAGAAAGAAGATCTCATTTTGCGGTTACGTCAGTTTACCGGCGGCGGGAACGTCGACGACGAAGGCGGCGTGATGAGGGGCCGATCAGATCTTGAAGAAGTGAGGGTGGCCCCACACAGTGGACCTCACGGTAAACACTTCATAGTGTGCTGCCTTGAGAATTCCGACAGCAAACTTTGGGAAACCACCATCTAACTGTTTGTGCCACTGTTTAAGTGTACCTCTAGTCAGTTTCACAGGTTGCAGCGCTCAGCATAGTCATGTCATGACGGGTAGAAGCTTTAGCAACCGACGTTTGTAGGGCTGTTTGTTTCTGAATGGGAGATTCTCTTGGGGCGAGCCTCGGCTTCCCAACTTCGCCGCCCTCGGCTCTGCATCTCAATGAGTGAAGTCTTCGGGCCCAGATCGGGAGTTTCCGGACGGCTGCGGCTACTCTCATCCCCGGATCCGCTCCCGGTCTCCTCCAGGGAGCGGAATCAATTCCGTAGAGGAACGAGACACTGACTTCGGCCGATAAGCGACCGATTGCGGGCCGCAGAAACTATCCGTCGCCGTTTGAGTCTGTCGCGCCGATTCTGCGCGGCGAATCTCCTCAACAAAGTTGACTGTTCCCTCTACTCTTTGAAGTTGACGGGGTCACTCAAATTAAATGGCTTTCTCTGGAGCAGTTCGCCGGTGGCAATTTTCTGTCCCTGTCTCGATGTGTTTCTGAGCGTGTTGCCTTCTGCTGCGACCGAGCACTGCAGCAGATGCCTCGCTGCTGTTATGCGGTTGTATTCAAGTGTTCGGAATTCGTAACAGATGATAGACAGAGAGGTAGAATGGGAAAACGAAAGAAGAAAAAACGAGAACGAAGACTCCAACAAAACAAGTCGAGAAATTGCGTGTGCGCTTTGTCTCTGTGTCCAAAAAGAGCATTGTTTGCAGAGACTGCATTTGTCGCCTTCTAAGTGACATTACACTAAGAAATTTATTCAACAACGCTCCATCCGTTCTCTCTTCTGCTTCCTTTTCGTTTTCCACTCGTGTTTCGGCGGGACTCCGCGCACGAGAAGGGCACGAGATCTTCCTTCTCACCCGGATCAGCTCATCGTCCCGATTCCTTCGAATCGTCGGCATACGGGGCTCGTGAAGATCCATCGCTCTGCGTATGCGCCGCGCCGGAACGCTATCTTAATGACGAGGTCCTCCGACGAGAGCATCGTAGCAGTTCCTCGGTCGCGCTTACGGTTTTTTGCGGGGTTGCTTAGTTCGGGATGTAATCTTTTGGGGTACAGCTTCCTGTCTTCGTCGAGCACCCGCCATGTGCATTGCGTTCCGCACATGGTGACTCGTAGACATTTAACTGCGTCGTAGATCGTCACGAGACTGAAGCGTGCCGGCCACAAGCGACCAGAAGTAGCTGGGACTTATCGTGGGCGTTCTGTGAATTTCGTTCTGATGAGGCGACTGACTCTAGCGGGTAATCACGACTCCCCCCAGACCTCGAAGCTCGATACTGCCTACGACGAATTCCGGCTGCTTCCTAACGAACCGGGCCCGCCCCGACGACGCGTGAGCTTGCCCTGGAAAACAGGAGTTGCAACGGTGCAATTTCGGTTTTCGCAGCGGACGAAAAATCGGGTATGGTCCACTCGAGCAATCGGACTGCGGTGTCGGAGCCGAGCGAGTCGAGACCGACCGTTAAAAGAAATAGTGGTTGACGTTTTTACGTTGAGACGCTGAGTCGGTATTCGAACGATTTAAATATGAATACCGCCCTGGTCGCTCGGACTGGCTGCTTGATGGCGGTTCCATTGACAAGAAACAATTGTTGGCCGGCCGACTAGCCGCTTCGCTTGCCGGCAGCCTGCTCGGTCGGTCGTTCGTTCGTTGGTACGGAGTGAGTTGAGGAAGCAAGAAACGACGTTTCGTGGAATGGGGCCGTGTCACTATGCAGCTAGAACATAAACACACTAGCAGATAATTAATGTCCACCATCGCCGCCACTGTCACCGCCGCCGACGCGACTTCTTGCTCGACTCCTTCATAAATCCGAACTTGAAACTTCGAGTCTTGGGAGCACAGCGGATCGCCGATCGGTAGAGAGCTATCGAGAGCATGGCCTTCGCTCGGCCTGCCAAGAGCCGAAACTTTTGTGCTGCGATCGTAATGACAGTCTCACTCGTCCACTCTCAGTCAGCGCTCAATTATCCATGCCCGTCGGTCTATTCGTTCATTTAGTTTCTCGGAAATTCATGCGGTGAATTTTCAACATGACGCATCCATGTGCGTGGCAGGAGCCCGACGTGATCCGGGAGACGTACGTACAGCCTGGGGCTCCCGTAACTACGTGAAGGAAGAAGCTGGTTCTGTCACCCTCGAGTAAAACGACGACGACGGCGCCGATAGCCGACCGTCTGTGTCGTTTGGTGTGATCCTGTGAGAATGACTCCGTGACGGAGAATTAAACACAGGGGCCGAATCGACGTAGGTAGTAGTGCTGTTCGGTGGTTAGTTCACTGGAATAGTGGTCGTCGCTCGTCCTATCGGAGCTCGTGTTTTGATGGAACACTTTTCCTGGATCGATAGACACACTTCTTCGGAGGAGCGATTCCCTACCAAACGAGTGCGTGTCGACCCGGGTCGTATGGGCACTGCGGAACGTTGAATATCCGCCTGAACTTATTACTGGCCATCAATCAATGCATCAATCCATTCATTCTCATATTCATTCGTTCCTTCGTCGCTCGATGTCGTTTCCTCGACATGGATGGGACTCAAGACATGGAGCTCCGTCCGCAGTCATGTGCTCTTGATAGCGATGTTAATGATGATAGGCACTGTGGGAAACACGTCAACATCAGAAATTCAGTCGAAGAATGGAACTCCGCGGAGAAGTCGTTCGTCGTACAACAATGAATACCAATAATAGGCTAGGGGCAGCTACTTAGGCAGCACGCGTCTCCGTCACGGCAAAATCACGGCGGAGTCACGCTGATGACTCCGAAGAAAGGCAAAAATTATATTGAGTGTTTATTGGTAGTAGTCGGCTGTCCTGAACTGGTGGCTCGCCGACGACGTTGCTTCGGGATGAACAAGGGTGTGGTCAATGGTTTTTCGTGCCGTCTTTCTTTGCCGTCTTAGACTACCTAGCTCTTCTCTCAGTTTTCCGCAGCGACCGGGGCAACTTTTGTACTGCGAATGGACGACTGAAAGGACTAACAAACAGTCAAACGAACGAATAGCCAAGCGTTTCAAGCGTAACAGGAGCAACATCAAGCGAAGTATGGCGTAGTCCGCGAGCTTCGTTCGCCATGCCGAGGAGCGCTCGAGAGCAGTCGCTCGATTGTTTTCCTCCGGGAATCGTAGACGTAGTTGACGTTGATCGCTGGGACTCTGACTGACGGGGCTCAATTGAGCCGCGGCCTCGCGCGTGGAACTACTACGGAACGGCTCAAAACAAACCTCAACTCGATCAACGCCGTTAAAAATATCCGAGAGAAATCACTGAGCTGTGAGAAATCACTACTCGCTCGCGGTGAGCAAGAACTTCGCTCATGTCGACGTCGGCGGAGATTTCAAATCTCAGATGTGAAGGTGAAGCCTACGCCGGCGCCGCGTCGGAAATTCTGCCCGATCTGAGCGCGAACGTGCACAGAGAAAAAACGTCAACAGAGGCATTTTTTTGCCGCCGACGCTACTCTGTCCCTGTGATCTTTTGCCCGCGAACAATCCGCTTGACCGGTAGTTCCGTACGGACAGCCGAAAAGCTTGTCGGGATCCACAGGCAAAATCTTGTCTGGTCGAGTGAAACAATTTTCGATTCCGTTCAAGAGAAGAGGCCCATTCACAGATTCACAACTTTTGCTAAGGCGCCGACATCGTCACTGTCTATGTATTACTACGCTCAACGTTGGAGCGATTACGGCGGCCGCGGCGTGTCATTCGGATGCTGGAGGGCTACCGTGCAGCGTTTTCAATCCGTATGAAATCATTAGTCTAACGATATAATAATACAGTGGCTGCTTTGTTGCTGTAATTAGGTGGGTATTCTGTAATCGATGAAGCTTCGCTCAGACACCGAAGCCATTCTTATCGACAACGCGCCGGCAGGACTATCCGCGCTGACATGAGTTCGCATAATCACGCATGAAGAATCTAGTTCATTCTGAGGCTAGCGTACGAGCGAGCGTGGTCGATGTTTCCGTCGTGCTATTCGATAATTGAATCGGCTTTGGAAAGGAATACGGAGAAGAAGCTCGTCGTACACGGAGTCATCTCATCTCGGAAAGGCTCTTGAGGGGTTCAAAACGTACGAAATTGCCTCAGATGTCGGCCGTAGGGGGAAATTCAACTCCTCCGGTCATTGAAGAGCTCACCTGTTCCTAAAATGCGTTTTCTCTTCCAGGAAACATTCACCCTTGTGCTGGATGTCTTGCACCGAGATCGAGATGTGACTGATCGACGTAAGTAAAAAGTTTTCCTCATCTCCGATTTTACCGTCGAAGGTCCTACGTCCCACCTAGATAGGTTCCGAGTCCGGATCGAAGTTTGGTAGGCCGACTTCTGTTCAAATGTCTAAGGAGTCCTCGAATGGGTTCCGTTTGCTGTGGAGATACATAATCATGGGGAGCATCGTTCCTAAGCTGGCTTCCGCCTGCATTGCGAATCGTGTGAGTTCTGCGCCCAGCTCTATCGCACACTGAACTGGGTTTCCATTGGTCGAAGAAAAACAAAGCCGAGCAGCAAAAGCGAAGGAACAGAATATTGAATAAGCTGAGGTTATTAGAAACGACAGACGTCAATAGTTCCTCGACCGAAGGATTGACGGATTACCTGATCGTCGGTGTCAAACGCGATGGGTAGGATCGATCCACGGACGAGCGGGAGCCAATGCGTTGTCGAAGCACAGAGGCATGGACACAAAATCAGGATGGATGCACTGTTTGCTCACTTGTTTGACTCTCTCGGGCCCTGCTCTAAATGACATTTCAAACTCGGGAAGCCGAAGCTAAGATGGAGCACTCCCCTCTGCGAACTGAACGGAGAAGCCAAAAATGTCCGAAAAAAAATTTGTGCATTCGACGTTTTCCATCGGTCGCGCGCGATCCCCGTTACGCCATTGGCGGCATTGTCGTATCTTCGTTCGGACCAACTTCGAGCATCGAAATCGAATGGAAGGCAGCATCACGAAGTAACTCAGAGAGCATGTGCCCCTCCACCGCGCTCGCCCGTGAGAAGATGCTCAAGCCCGCCGAGGATACTCTGACCCTATCCCATCTGACCAGTTCGATTTCAAGCCAAAAAAAGTCGAAGCAAAGGATGAGGCAAAGTTTTCTCAAGCGCGTCTGTCAGAGGACCTCAGAATGGCATTTAGAAAGCTTAATGAGATTAAACAGGTCCGTGTGTCGAGTGATCGATCTCTCTTCTTCTTTAACTTCGAAAAAAGACTTGTTACATTTCTATGGGAGGCGGATTTTCTGTGGCAGATACCTCGCCGACCTGCTGCTGTTTCACTGAAGGCTTGATATTTTCTTCCTACCTGTTTTTTCGAAACTACAGCGAACGAAGCATCGAGCCGCTCCGTCACTTATGAGAATGCATTCAGAAACAAGGAACGACAAGAATATAAACTCTTAACCGAGATTGGTGGACAAAAAAATAGCGGAGCCCATGCGGATGGACCAGACCTTGCCGGCGACAGAATTCGAAATCCGAATCGGCCACAAAATTACCTCGATGTGCTGTCGACACATGCAGCCAGAGGACAAGTCTCGTTCCCCTGTGCAAACGGAACGTGGTTTCTCGAACCCCGTTCCGGCGATTTCGAGAAAGCTGGAGCGCCGCAGCTCCAGCGGGGCAGATTGCGGTGGAGATGGAGCGCTAGAGGCCTACCGGTTGCGAGTCTTTCGACTCGGCGCTCAGTGTTTCTCCCGCACTCGTTTATGAACTCTTATGACTTCCCGAGGTGCTCGCCGTTAGATGGTGGAAAAATCGGTCCAGATACAGGCATGATCGAGCTGAGCCTCCCCCGAGATTCGACGAAGGTCAATTGTGATCCGGTCTGCTTCGACTTGCATTGACACTCATTGTCCTCCAACAGTTTAAGTAAGCTAGTTAGGGAAGTTTGTATCGCAAGGGACTTCGAAAGGCGTGGGTGGTAGAGGTATCGCTGCCCGGCTACTGACTACGAGCGAAACGGGTGACAACTGCACGAGGTGGCTGTATGTTCCTCGGCCACACGACTGATGCAAGGATCTCGGGGTCAACGATTGCAGAGATGTTTGGGGCGTGTCTCCTACTTTACGGGGTCGGACTCGCTGTGACCGCCACTATATGACTCTGAGGCCGCGAGCGCTCGGGTCCTCGACTCCGAGACCGCAATCAGGGTTTCTGCTGACACTTTCACAGCGCGTCACAATATTTCCCGACGATAGGCCATTTCGGATCGGCCGATAGATCGACAATTTGTTGGGCAGGGCTCGCGATGCTAATCAAACTGAGACCGTCTGCATTGATCAGCGGCGAATCGATGACTTTTTGTCGTGATTCAAGCTATGATGATCTTTTAATTGAAAGCGCACGCTTACGTTCATGCTCACTGGAAGCATGTCGTTAAGAAGATCGTTGTGATCTCGTTCATCTGGCGCGGGAATTCTCTGCCAGCGCTCGACAGCCGCTGCGGCTCTAGTGAATGCCGTCAACAAGAAGAGTTATGTTAACCTTCAGAAAACGAAAAAAATGAACTCCTCTTGTTTGAGCTTCAGATGAATTCCCGAGCTTACTCCCACACCCTTTTTCCGAAGGTGAAATCAAGCACAAAGGGCGAAATGAGCTATCATGAGTCTGCAAAGATTCAATTTATCCTCGTTTGCAGGTCGTTTGGAGAGCGTGCTCGGGCGGCGCTCTCCCCCGACTTCTTCTTTCTTTCTCGCTCCCCCCGATTTTGAATGTGCCGTAATCCACTTCGAAAATTCGAAACCTCGCGAAATATTCGTTGAGATGTGGATCGGATCCTAAAAATGTTAGCGATCGCTCGCTTTGTTTTCCGATGTGCGGTCGGTTCTGTCGGAGCAGCCCATGGTCGAATGAACTTCGCTCCGCAGAGGGGAATAACTCCTTCATCTCTCGGAGAAACGTCCGACGTCTTCCATGCGGACACCATCTGGCCATTGGTAGCGCGCTGCCACCTGTCGCCTCGGTAGAGGCAAGCAACGTTTTGACAAAAAGACGTAACATGTTCGGAGCGGGATTCTCCGCACGGCACTTCTTAATACGAATTCCTAGCAATGTTGATTCAGGATGAAGTTAAGAGTTGCCGAGAAATGTTTGGCATTTTAATTATTGTCACCTCTGTATATCGATTCGCGACTCCTCAGTCCAGCGGCTTGTGTTCAGAGGATTGCGCGGATCGCCGAGACAGAGAATCGGCTCAGAAATCTGGCGAGAAATACGGGGAGTCCATGAAGCAGCATAAAGGAAAGACGGGCGATCGGATGAGGTCGTTACATCACAACTCACAAGTGGAGGTCAAGGCCAAACGCGCGGACTCACGCCCGGCATTCCCGCAACGGGACATCGCGCTCATTCAATGGAGTTTTAAACAAATTTTTGCTCTCAAAAATCATATTTCGGGACCGAGCAGCGCGAACTTACCGATCCTCCGGCATGAGTTCTTGCTGCGTTTCCTGCAGGTATCGAATTTCGATATGGGAGTGGCACGCGCCCGCTGCATGTTAATCTCCGGCGCTCGATTTCGGCTCGGCTTCTCTGGTGGACTGAGGATTCACTTCCGCGTGACTCCAGTGAGGATTTTTTATTTGAGTGTTTGCACTACATCAAAGTGGCTCTCGGGCGCAGATCTAATCGGAGAGGAGCTCGTTATCCCCCATGACTTTCTCGCGTTCGTCGTCCGCTGACGATACTAGAATTCGAAGATTCGGAGTAAAAAATCAAAAATCTAACGACGATTCGATAACGACCCTACCCACCTGGTGGAATTTGAGAGATCTCGCTTTCTCTTGTAACATGCTCGCGGATAGATATTTTCTCGAGACGACCCGATTAGTAGCTGTAAATTTCTCTGAGATAACGATCTTCACATTTTTTCTTCGGCTTGAACTCTGTCTTCGATCTGGATGATTACGATGGCTATGCAGTCACGATGGCCGCCTCGGCGGCAGCGTCACATTGAGAGTGATGTCCATGACGACCTTGCTCCTTCAATCTCAGACGGGCTCGCACTCGAAGACATTTCCTCGCGCAAGAGACAAAAACAATCAATCAGTCACTGCAATTCATTACATCGGCCGCGAAATCTGAGACATAATCTTCCGTGTCGATTTCGAAAGCAGCAGATGTTATACGCACATCACAACGGACCCTAGCGCACGCGCCTTTCTGCTTCGTCGTATCATTTATCATTCCGTTTTCTCTAAGGCGAAGTTTTGCGAACGTTCCAGGCAACGATCCGCTCATCGACCGCGTTTCTTACAAAGCCAACATAACGTCGTCTCTGGAGTTCCAAGGAGTCGATAGTCGACACGGAAAGGTAAGAACTCCAGATGTAAGTTTGAGCGGAGAACATTTCTCTCGAGAAATCCAGAAACACGGTTCTACATAGAACGAAATCTCATAATCGACAAGGATGGGAATGCGATTTTTCTCAGTGAAAATCGCATCGCAAATTACTCGAAAGTCTCCCCATTGAATCATGAAGTCTTTGTTACTGTTAGTAAATGATAATAAATGAAAATAAATGTTTGGAACCACGTCCCACTGATAGTTTCGTCCTTGCAGGGCGTCTACGATACAGCAACGGTTATTTACAAGATACGAGTGCGCTGTGCCGAAAACCACTTCACGAAGGTAAGAACTTGAATTACCTCGCTCGTAGGCTTGATTCGATTCGGGTCACGCACGGATAGATCAATCCTGAGTGAAGAATCATGCGACCTACGATTTGCTTGGAATATGATACATTCTTAGATGTCACTAGTATTCGATCACCCTCGACATTGTATCCGTATCGACGCTTTAACGATTCAAACTCTCAGGACTGCTCAAAAATCTGCTATCCACGGGACGACAAGTATGGCCACTGGAGCTGCGACGAGAACGGCGAGAAAAAGTTAGTGAAACTTCGCTTTTTTCCAGTCGAGTTGCTATCAGACCGCGGGAGGATTGCAATCACAGATCTAAAAGATGTTCCCTCCTCTGTCTCCTGGCTCTCGACCGGCCGATATCGAAGGGGCTCTGTAAACGGTCTTGATTCCATTCAGATGTCTCGATGGTTGGACTGACCATCATTGCGAGCGTCCCGTGTGCGAGTTCTGCGATGCGGATCGCAGCGTCTGCGAGGCCCCAGGCCGATGTTCATGCCGGCCGGGTTGGACTGGTCGGAACTGCTCCGTTTGCGTTCCGTACCCCAACTGCAAACACGGCTCTTGCGCCCCGGTGAGTTTTTGCTTGAGAGAAAAATGTTTCGAAGCGTCAGATCTACGCGATATCTCAGAGGGACGCGAGCATTATCGGCGTTCCGGTACTCCAATCGGGATTCGGTCTTAGATGTTTCCGCTCCTCGTCGTAGGGTAAACCTTTCACCTGTGAATGCGAGCGAAACTGGGGCGGCGCCCTATGTGATCAAGATCTCGACGTTTGTGGACGAAGTCAACCGTGCAAGAACAACGGTGTATGCAGGTACGTAGCGGCGGATTCTTTGAGCGATTATTATTCACGTTGATCTGACCGATCTGCGGCTCGCAACGGTGAGTCCCTACAATAAATCTCGGAATCGATCGGCGATCAAATTGGATTATACAATTTCAGGAACACAAATCCCGACCAGTATCAATGCAGTTGTCCGGACGGTTTCTTTGGGAGGAATTGTGAGCTCGACGGAGAAATGATCAAGTACTACAAGTAAGCGAGCTCGGTGCATGAATATCTCCCGACCGATGAGGCCTTTCCGAGGAGATGTGCTGGGGACTCTAACAAGCGTAATTATTTCTCCAGGCCATGCGTCCGTGGAGATGGCCAGCCCGTCTGCCAGAACGGTGGGAGCTGCTCTGAAATAAATAACGGAACCGACTTCAAATGCGATTGCCTCCCTGGCTGGCTTGGCGAGACTTGTTCCAATGGTACGTCGAGAGAATGCTACCTCTCTCTTTATCTCTCCGCAATATGTCGCGTTTCCATCTTGATTTCCCTTTATTAATAAATTCGTGTCCCCTCCTAGACATCTCTGGGAGGGCGAGTTGCGCTAGCAATCCTTGCCTGAACGGTGGACGCTGCTCGCCGAACTCCAGGGGTGAGGCTGTGTGCAAGTGTCCGCGTGGATGGACCGGTCATAATTGCCAATTCGGTGAGGCTTGGCTCCTTCCTTCTTCATTATACATTTATTGAGCCCTCTTGTCTCTTCACTGAACTCAGAAAGAGCGGAAACGACTTGCCCCGCTGGACCCGACCGAGACGGTCGCTAATCGTGGCTCTCGAACTCTGCAGATATCGACGAGTGCGCGGAGCTAGAACCCTGTCTGCATGGCTCCGTCTGTACCAACCGAATGGGGAGTTACAGCTGCACTTGTGCCGCGGGATGGGAAGGCACAAACTGCTCCCTTCCCGCTGACACCTGCCACCAGTACCGATGTCTGAATGGAGGGACATGCTTCTCCAATCGCGGAGGATGGCACTGTCGCTGTCCCGAAGGTTTCGCCGGGAAACAGTGTGAGATAAAGGCGGATCCCTGCCAGCCAGACCCCTGTAACGGCGGAACTTGCGCGGTTCTGGCCAGCGGCAAACACAGATGCTCCGCGTGTCCCGAAAACAGATTTGGGCGAAACTGTGAGCTGACAGCCAATGGACTACGTCCGCAGACTAAACGTAAGAAATCCAGAGAGGAAGTTTCGCTCAACTTTCTTCCCGCATGTCCCCGCTACGGGACCGGTCTAACTTATTTTCATTCGTTGCAGTCGAATATGACGAATGCGTCGTGGCCGTTAGTCAGCCATCTTCGGGTCGGGCGGAGTTCATCAAGACGAGAGTTTGCGGAGCTCACGGTAGATGCGTCTCGTCGACCGATGCGAACAAGAATCCGGGTGAATTCGCTTGCGTGTGCGACGCAGGCTACACCGGAGCCGCGTGCCATATAAGTGAGTATCGAGCAACCGAGTCGCACAAAGGGAACATCGATGCTCGGGACGATGGAAATGGAAGAGTTGGGTACATTCTTCTTCCGAAGAAGAGACACTAACGACCTGTATCTCTGTCGCAGATATCAACGATTGCGAGTCGTCACCCTGTGCCAACGGCGCCACTTGCCTTGACCGAGTGGACGATTACAGTTGCGTTTGCCGACCTGGTTTCACGGGAGAACGTTGTGAAGAGATGATCGATGCGTGCACGAGCTCGCCGTGTCATAGGGGAGAGTGCACGGCGATAGAGGATGATTTCATCTGCAGGTGCCCCCAGGGTTTCAAGGGTCGCCATTGCAATCTGACCACCAGTCATTGCGACGAGAACACCTGTGCTAACGGAGGTTCGTATCCATCTCTGATATCGACGACGCGGCGCTCTTCTATGCTTATAATAGGGAAAGCAGGAACGAAAGTCAAAAGCGCATTTTTCCTCATGACAAAACTAATCGACGTTTCTCGCTAACGCAGGAACTTGCCAAGAACTCGGGTCATCCTTCGTGTGCGTATGCCCTCCAGATTATATTGGGCATCGCTGTCAGCGGAAACGCCATCTGGCCTGCGAGTCGACTCCGTGCAAGAACGGTGCCACGTGCGTCAATCTCGAAAACGACGAATACCAGTGCTGGTGTCCCGAGGGTTTCACGGGACCCCTGTGTGAACACAGTGAGTATCTCGTTGCGCACCTGGCCTAATCGAGCTTAAAAGCTGTTGAGTGTTTCTGAGAAGATACTCGTGCTCGCATCGGTCCTTAGATCGAGTCTTCATCTTTTTCAGACGTGGATGACTGCTTGGAAGCAACCTGTTTCCATAACGCAACTTGCATCGACGGTATCAACAGGTTCCAGTGTGAATGTCTCCCGGGATACAGCGGAGCCGACTGCCGCCTCGACATCGATGAATGTGCTTCAAATCCTTGTCATGGGGGCGGCACTTGTAAAGACTTGGTGAGTAAGAGCCTGGCTCTTTAATCGAGCCGCACCATAATGATTCATCTCCACCCTTGCTCCTGATGTTCCCCGAACGAGACTAAGTGTAATTTTCTCAATAGGTCAACGACTACCGATGTGTCTGTCCGCCGAGCCGGAGAGGTCGAAACTGCGAAATTATGGTAGTTAAACCGTCTCCTTCCGCATGCTTTTACGCCAAGCGGAAACATCTCGTCGGAGAAGTTTGGAGCGAACGGCATGAATGCAGCACTTGTAAATGTTTCGAAGGGAGTCAGGTCATCTGCGAGAGAGGACTCTGCGAATTGGATGAGTGCGATTCGAAGGATCCTTACAATTCTTGCCCTGTAAGTATGCGACGAGCTCGCCGATACGTTCAGGTAGCCGCTCACGCGGGCTCAGTGCGCACGTGGTCCCGAATTATCCGTGTAGCGCACGGGGTCCATAGGGAATTCCAATCGTCTCCATTTACACTGGATGTACTAATTTTTGCCTGAATCATCCTTGCAGAAAGCCGAGGAGCAATGCTACAGCACGGCGAACGAGCCGTGCTTCATCCCACCGTGCAAACCTCACGCCGAGTGCCGTCCTACTCCGAACCTGAAACACATCAGGCCGATGAGCTTCACAGACAGATGTGGCCCTGAAGATATTTCGGGCTGCGCAGCCAGAATAGCTCTCGACTTCGTTCCGAGTGCCGATGTGACCGGCTTCACTGTCGAAGCTATCTGCGCTCACGTGCGACGGGTTCTGTCCTCGCAGCCCGCACCGGATCTCCTCGTCGGATGCGTGGCGAAATCTCATCGCGAAATTGAGATTCTCGTCGATTCGGCGCAGAACGATGAGCAACTAGTGGCAGCTTTGCAAGCTGATCGACTAGCGAGAACGATCAAAGAAGGTCGAACAAACTCTTCGATCCTCAACGCTGTTCACAAGGTTCTCGTGAGCGAAGCTTCTCAATTCAAGGATCTCTCCGAAAGTCAGAAAACGGTGACCGCCTTCCTGATCGCCACCGCCGTGTTGGTACTCCTCTTACTGGTCGCCGTGCTGGTGTGCTCGTACAAAATTTTCTCCCAGAAATCTCCAGATTCGAACATCATTATGACCAAGCCGTATTTGCGCGACGCTCCGAGCAACCTCAACAACCTCCGGCTGCCGAAGATGAACAATTTGGGACAGGAGGCTGATGTAGGTTCGAGTCGCGGTAAGATCTTGAATACGATGGTCAATCAAGAGATGAAAGATTTTGCTTTCAAAGCATCCATGAACAAAGTATCGAAAGCCGTAGATATTCCGCAAGTCCCGCAGGAGCGAGACTGCATGGACTTGCGGTACGAAGGGTGTCCGAAGAAAAGCAAAAGGAACGCAACAGATGGTGAGAATAGTCTGGGAGAGGTCGTTTGGTGCTAGCACATCTAGTAGTTACTAAATTTCTGGATAAATGCTTAAGTACGGGCGTTGTAGTTTGGAACGCTGCCGCTTAGTGAAGCTGCTGTATATACGGTGAACCAGTAATTATTGGAGTTTGTACAAACTTGAGACTGGAGTTCACAAGAGTATTAGTTAAGCTGGCACGTGGTTTCCCCGAAAAATATGCGGCGAGCGGTTCCCGCGCATTGGGTGGAGCTCGCGAAGACGTCCGGCAGACCCTGTTGTACGGGAAAACTCGCGAGTCTGCTGATTTTCCGACCGAGCGAATGAAAGGAAGAGTGAGCGATTGATTGTATGAGCAAGTGACCGGAAGGGAGGAGAGGTTTTTAAATCGATGTCAATGTCTCCCCTCCAAAAAGATTCGATCCTCTCATTCCAAGCAGACGTTGCGCTTCGACATCAACGGTTCCGCGGGTACCTCATTGTTTCCTACTTCGGGAGCATCTGTATTTTACGTTAAAAACAGTAATGATGTTTTTTATGCTTCGAAGTTGGTAAGAATGCCCGGGCCCGGAATCAACTTTCGGTCCGATGCCAAGTGCAGCATACCGCCAATGATGAGAACCGGAATTTTCTGTACCTGCGAGGACAAACGGGTACATTTTAACCTATTGCGGATCCAGATTGGGGGAGAAATGTCTGCAGACGAGCTTCTGAGATGACGGATGTTTCGCTTGCTTCCAATGACTATCCTAATAATTCAGTCGCTTGGCCAAATGAGAGAAGAATTCGCCGAATCGGAATGAAACGGAGTTTGTACATACGTAGATTGGAGTACGTCAGGGAGAATTATTACGAATAAGGTAAGAATGAGTAATAGCGAGTCCGAGATCGCCAGAAACAAACCCACAGCGTCGGTCATGAAGTTGAGAATATTTGCTTTTAGCACGATGTTGAGAGAGTGCGGAGTCGCCTCATTAGTCGGTTAGTTGTATTATATATTTAAGATAAAACTTGAAGGATGAGAATGATCGAGTGGAAAAAAAAAGGAAAAACTGTACTGAATCAACATTGAAGTACTGTGAATAAACAATAAAAAAATATTTATGTTGCGAGACAGCATCGCCTTCTCCTTGCGTTCAGAGTCCCCTGCAGAGCAAAGGAGGCTCGATCCTAAGGGGAGACCGCATTCCAGAAAATTCATTCGAGTCCCAGGTTTTGGAGGGGATGGGGTAATCTCTCGCTTGCCGCGATGGATTTTCTTCCGAGGTGCTACATGGGTCTGTGCGTTGGCTATGGTTTGTGATGGTCGATCCAGATATCAGCGACATTGATCGTGGGGCTTTCCTCGTAGCAAGTAATTGCCCTTCCGACTTTGATACCAGGGTTCGCTGACGGACTTCGTCAGGACACCATTGACCCGCGGATTTCGCGCGAGAGGCCTGCGCCTGCATGGGACCTTCCCCCCTGATGCTGTCTTCCGGATTTCCTTACAGCAAGCATCTCCTGTGTCGCCGAATTTCCGCGCAAGAGTCCCATATGTATCTCAATGCGATTAAATTTATCTGAGAGCGCTCATAAACCGTGATGAGGAACTCCCGCGGACTCCTCTGCTTGGGAGTTTCTCATAAACCTCCCGTCAGAGTTGTGACCAGAAAGTTAGTACTGTCTCGAGTCTCGAGTCTTTTCTGTTGATGGCATTCCACCTTCCATCTCGCACACCGGAGGTTTGGAGCTTTAGCATTGATCCGAGTCATCGAGATCATCGGGAAGTCAGCCTCTCCCGGAGCTCTCTTTGATTGCACTTCTGACAAGAGAATCGCTGGCTTCCGATGAAGCCGGTCTGGGAATTCGCCGCGGACCGTTGATCTTTAGTTTCGGGCCTGAAGGGTATTCTTTGGAGCGCTCGATTCTCTGGTTTCTCGTCCCGAAGGTTCCAAGACGATCACTCAGACACGTCAGGACTGGGCCCTCTCGGGCAAAAGCACTCCGACATCTTCGAAGGGCACATCGGCCATCTATGTATGTACAGTAGTTTTCTACGCGAGAGATTGCCTCGATGATTCAAACATGTTCGAGCCCCCGCAGATTCTTAGCATTCCTCAACTGGGAATCGATTCCTCTCCGTCGCTCAGAAGTCGACTTCTGTAGCGTCGGTATTTGAGATCCAATAATTGAAGCACGAGGGCACCAAATATTTTTGCGCTCATTCTCAACAGTATTGAGACAACGAGACCGGAGCCCTGCTAAGAACAACAATCAGACGACCGGTAATTGGCAACATCCACATGTAGATTTTTTTTCTCTGCAGGAGCAATTGAGCAACTGATGGAATTGGGAACGAAATCAAAATTCGAGACTGCCGTCTCGTAGAAGCGGAGAGCCGAAAGAAATTCCAGCATGGAAGCCCCAGCCCATCGCGCTCACTTGGTATCAGAGACTCCGGCATGGATTTGGCGGAGCGAACGGCGATGTCCGAAACTCCCAATGTTTTCTCAGTCTCTTCGAAAAGATGAGAGCTATTATTTTCATCGGCCTCGATCTTGCAAAAATACCCTCAGAGCACTCGACCTCCAGCGACCTCAATTTCCCACCGACCAGCAGTCCACAGGGACCTCACCCCCGATCCTGCGCGATGTGACGAAGGAACTCCGACGAGGGTATGGTTTCGACGAAATTCGACCCGAACATGGGCCTCGGAGGGAGAGGATTCTCCCGACGACACAGTAATTCGAAAACGGGAAGGAGGGCGGCTAGCCTTCGAGTCAGCCTCGGAACTGAAAGCTATTTTGAGCTTCAAAAATTGAGCCGACGTAAATCGAAAGTCGATCGGATTCTGATGGGTGAGATATGGCAGGTCGTCCCTTCTCTGTTTCAATTAAAAGTGTCGGCCCCTCCGAGGAAGCCGTCGAGCAGGAGGGAGGGGGGGATCGCAGCCTCGGATTTTGAAGGACGGAAAAAGTTCTTATTCTTGCCGCATGGTCGCTCCGAGTTATTAAAAAATCCGGCTCTTCCAGCCAGTGCCCTCATGTCTCCATATGATTCGTCGCAGGATAGCGGCTGTCGCCTCTCGATTCGTCCACGGAAGAGAACATCGGGACGCCTGGATGTATGTTATACAGTGTAAAGCGCCAAAGTAGGTCTCTCCCTCTCCCGATGATCCATCGCACGGGTCTTCCCAAATGAAATTGCTCCTGGAATCGAAGGTTCGACCTTCATTAGAAACATCAGACCTACAACATTTCTTTGTGCGGTTCGGAGGCATTCGATGAATTTCCTGGAATCATCGGATTTCGGACGCTGCTCCGCCGAAATACTTCAAGGACCCGGCTCCGAAAACCTCGTCTGACAACAGCTTGCAATCGCGTCCTGCGACTCAATCGTCGGACAAGGAGCTGTTCGGAGCCGTCGTATGAACTCGGGCCGAACTCACTGAGCTTCCTATCGCTTTGAGCTTTGGTCAATTTCCCACGTGCTGAGCATCGGCAGAGGGAGCGAGCCTCTTGAGAAATTGAGATTCCTCACGAACGTCTTTCCCTGATTCCGGCTCGGGCGCATTCAATTGAGCCCACAACGCAAGAATCGTTTCCGCTGATGCTCGAGAATGATTTGCTTCCTCTCGAAATTTTCTTTCCCAATAGAACGAAAAGGCTTCAATGTATCGGAAACATCGCGCGGAGCTCATCTCGTTCGCCGAACCGATGCGATGGACGAAAGTACGAAACCAGATGGTGGGGAGAAGATGAGTTTTCGACGAGCGATGGGAAAAAAGAAAGAAGAAGGCCGACGCCGTCGTGATTCGACTCCTAAAAGAATCCCTGTCCATCGCGCACGATAGCGAGGAGAAAATCGGGGCATAGATTCGTGGCGGCAGTTTTCAGCCCCAGCCACTGACCAACGCTGGCGAGCCGCTGTCTTATTCCAAGCACGATCTCCTAATATGGCCGCGATATCGCACGAGGCCACGCCCCGGATAACGAACCGACTCCAGGCTTTTCTTTGGTCTGGCCAACGCTGTCCTCTGCCCGCCGATCCTCACGTTGGCGGACTCGTGTCCTGGAAGCGAGGGAACTGTCATGACGTACAGAGGGATACAGCAATGATTCTCTTCGGTGCGGCCTCACGGATAGAAGAATGTCTGGCGAAGAAACATGACACGTCGTCTCCCAGAAACGACACGGTGCTGTTGCTCGACACGAGGCCTGCGAGGCATTGCCGTATAAGGTCGAGTGATGAGCGCGCAAGGATCGTATCGGAGTTTCAGAATGGTGACCTGGCCGAAATGGAATTTCCCCCTGGACCCTTTCGACCCCTCGCGATCCTTCTGGCGTTCAGAAGTGAAAGCGGAAGTGACTGCGCGCAACATGACGGTGCACATCCTGCCACAATCTTTCACAGGGGCGCGACCGCAGGTCGAGGTTCCTCCCGCGGTATCTTGTGCTCGATCTGATCTGAATCGGAGACTGTTCGTCGTGCAAGCATTCGCACCTCAACAATAGCGTTCCGCTGAGCCCACAATATTTGAAGTCGTAAAACTTGGCGAAACGGTATTCGAAGCTACATATAAAGAGGACTGCTTTGCCCTATTGCCGTTTGATGTCATCGCCAAACTTCTCCACGGCCCAGTCGTTTCTTTTCCTCCAGCGGTTTCCCATTCCGTTCCCCGGCCACGAATGGGTACCAGGTAGGGAGCGAGGACTTTGATAAATTACTCGAACCGCCCAGTCGGCGTACCTTTGTTCTACCCGTGAATCTCTCGACGAGCTCGGTGCTCCTATTCGCCCACGTACAATATATGTGGTTCATCGCGTGAGCTGTAAGTCAAAACCCACGCATCAGATAACACGCCATCGGATGTCCTCGAGGAGCCTCTTCCCAACACGAAGCCGCAGGGAAGAAAAGCGCGATTTGGGAGAAGAGCTGGCGGAGTCCAATTCCAAAAGGAGGAATAGTGGCTCCGATTCCAGGCAATCCAATACAGTGGAGTGTTTGATCGCGGCGAACTGTAGTCGTGAGTAGCTTCGCCGATTATAGACGGA